TAATTACCTTAATTGTGGTGCAGAGATAGAGGAAACTAGGAAAGGTTGAAATGTAGAGAAGGTGGATATATATGAAAAAATATTTTATATATATGTTTTGCTTATTTGTGTTTAATGTGTGTATATGCATACATACATATCTGAAAATTCCAGAAGACAATAGGAGAAGGTAGTTATGGGCGCTATTAGCAGTATGATGGCTAAGAATTTTAGAAAATTGGTAAGACATCAATTCTCATTCCAGGAAACACAGTGCAATCAATATAAGCTATTGCTGTCTGAAAGGTCACTTAGAAAACTTAGAAGCTTAAACCAGAGCCATTTTATTTAGCTCACAATACTTTGGGTTGATGGGATGATTCTTCTGGTTTGGCCTGGGTGTGCTGGTATCTGCTGGGCTCCGTCATACATCTGTGGTCAGTTGGTTGGTCAGGAGGTGGCTTCTTCACAGCTCTAGTCACAGACTGGTTGTTGACTGACAGACCTCAGTTCTTCCCTGTGTGGAGTCTACTCAGGCTTACTCACATGGCAGCTTTGAGATCCCAAGTGTAAGAAAAGAGGAAACCTCAGAGTACTCATGCATTTCAAGGCTTGGTTTCTTGATCACATTTGCTAATAATTTATTGCCCAAAGCAAATCATACGATCAAATCCAGGAGGACTGTCATTCTGCAGTATGACATTGCAAGGATATGGATGCAAGGGAGGGAAGAGTTTCTGACCATTTTAATAATCTGTTACACAAAATGAAGATGAGTAGAACATATTAGCAGAATATTTGCAGAAGAGCAGAACCTCAAAGACACAGAAGATCTTAAAAGTAGCCAGTGAAAAAAGGCAACTTTTGCAGAAAAGAATAACTTAGACTGAACATCTGGAAATTTGAGCAAGAAAAAATGAGAGAAGGCATAAGAACCAGTATGAATAATAAAAGGACATAACAAAAGACACTGCCAAAATTAAAACAGTAGTAGTTAATCATTTATTAAGAATTTTGTGCCAATAAATATAGAAAACTAGAGAAAAATGAACAGTTTCTATATAAATTACCAAACTGGACTTAGAAAGTGAA